ACAATTTTAACCAGAGACATATAAAACATTTTATTTTTCTCTGTTTTAACTAAGGTATATAATTTCATAGCGTAATGCATATGTTTTAAAAAGCCGATATGTCTCCAATTTTACATTTCGATAACTTAAGATTTCTATTTCTATTTTTTTCTATTTATTTAAGATGCAACAGGCATATTTGCCCACTATGCAAATTTCAATATACATTTATATAAAATATTAATAAATTATCTATGAATGTAAAATGTTATTAAAATAGTTAATGTTAAAATGCATTAGTTGACTAGAGTTAATGGTAAAATAAGTTTACTAAAAAAAGTGTCCTTTTATATACATGAACTGACCTGCAGTTATCTACATATTGCTAAGATGGTTAATCACAGAATGTTTGAATGTTGGCACTTGTGAGTCTAAAATGTTCCCAGGTAATTTATTCCATTCCACTATTGTTCTTGGTATGAAACTATATTTATATAAGTCTGTCCTGGTATTGGGATTATGAATTTGAGGGGATGAGAGTTCCTTGTTGTGACGAATTGGTTTTGGGGTCTGATGTAGGGAGGGATGTTAATGGCTGCTTTGCCATTCATTGCCTTGTGGAAAAGTGTTAGCCTTGCAATATATCTCCTATGTGCCAGGCTATCCCACTCTAGATGTTTTAGTGCATTGGTGACACACCCAGGCTCCCTAGAGTAGCATCGAGTAACGAAGCGTGCTGCTCTTCGTTGCACCTGTTCAATCATGTGTGATTGATTTGCCCTATAAGGGTCCAAAACCCCACTAGCATATTCAAGGTGGGGGTCGCACAAGGGCTATGTATGATTGTGCTTTAACTTTCTCAGGGCAATTGTTAAGGTTTCTTCTTATGAATCCAAGTGCTTTATTAGCTTTCGTGGTGGCATGAGTGATGTGGGTATTCCATGTTAGAGAACTATTAAAGTGTACTCCTAAATATGGATGGCTATCTACCGTTTGGAGATTCTGTCCTAGCATTGTATAATTACATATAATTGGGGTTTTCTTCCTGTGGATCCGCAGGATGAAGCATTTAGAGGGATGAAATGCCATTTGCCAGGTTTCTGCCCATTTCACAAGAGTATTGAGGTCGTTTTGTAGTTTAGCAGAGTCGTTATTACTGTTTATAGGCCTATATAATAAACTGTCATCTGCGAAGAGTTTCAGATTTGTTTCCTGGGTCACGTTTTCGTTCATGTCGTTAATGAAGAGCAGGAAACAGAGTGGCCCGAGGACAGTTCCCTGAGGCACGCCAGATTTGACTGGGCAGCTTTTACTCGACTGACCTTCAAGAATTACTTGTTGGGTCCTATCTGTCAGCCAAGATTTGACCCATTTTAAAGTTTCATCTCTGATACCGTAGTGATCGAGTTTTTGGAGTAGGCGATTGTGAGGCACGGTATCAAACGCCTTGGAAAAATCTAATATAAGGAGATCCACTTGCTCGTTATTATCGACTGAGTGAGCAATGGACTCTACTGTATTAATAAGTTGAGTTTCACATGATCGGTATCTCCTAAATCCATGTTGAATGTCCACGAGTATATTATGTGTTTCCAGGTGGGACATTACACTGTGAAAGATTATGTGTTCTAAAATTTTACAAGGGACAGATGTTAATGAGACAGGCCGGTAGTTGGATGCCACGTCTCTCTTACCCTTTTTAAATATTGCAGCCACATTCGCATGTTTCCAATCAAGAGGTACACTGCCAGTATCTAGGGATTGTTGGAATATAATCCTTAAATATGGTGCTATTTCATTGGCCGACTCCTTGAGAACGCGCGTGGGGATAAGATCGGGGCCTGCAGCTTTGGAGGGGATAAGGGTTTGGAGGAGCTTGACAATGCCATTATTAGTAATATTAATCCTAGGCATTGTGGGGATGTTACTAGGCTCCATCGGGGGAAGTGTTGGGTTTTCATTGGTAAATACACTGCTGTATTGGCGGTTTAATATATCAGCCTTTTCAGCAGCATCAGTGGTTTCTGAACCATCCTGATTTTGAAGAACACTGATTCCAGATGTATCCTTGCGCTTGGATCGGATATAATTCCAAAAACGCTTGGTGATGCCAAAGCATGGGGTATTGGTAGGAGAATCTGGGTCAAAATCAAGGAGGTTATTGACATAATTCTGGTGCTCCCTGCGTAATTCGTGATGAATGAGCTTTCTGAGAGATTTGTACTTATGCCAATCTTGTTCTAAATTGCTTCGTTTTGAGGCATTATAGCGTCTCTGCTTTTGACGAATGAGACGCTTTATCCTGGGAGTGATCCATGGTAAGTTAGGTTTACCGCTTATTGTTTTCTGTGGAATATGAGTTTTAACAGAGTTCATAAGTAAGTCCTTAAATGCTATCCAATTCTCATTTATGTTGAGATCTGCTGATTTGGTAGTAAAATTTCCTAAATTAGTGAGCAGATCTGATTTGACAGCATTCATATCCCCTTTTTTGTACATAAAGACTGAGCGAGGGGGTTTTCTGTGAAGTTTTGCTTTCATGTTAATGTCACATAATACAATGTCATGATCGCTAATTCCCGGAAGAATCTCGACCCTTTCAACAAGGTCAGGGTTTGTTGTGAAAATCAGATCGAGTATATTGTTCTTTCTGGTAGGTTCGCTGACGACTTGGGTAAGATTAAAGTCGTTGACAATGTCCAGCATTTTATTATTTATTGCGTGGCTGTATTGAGAATTGTGTCTAATTTCATGCGAGTCCCACAATATATCTGGCAGATTAAAATCACCCCCGAGAATAATATTTGGGGTGTCCAATCCGCGTCCATAAATTTTCGATATAGATTCATAAAGCTGCTCCATTGTTAGAATGCCACTTGATGGTTGGCGATAAAATACATGTTGAACACAGTTTCTTGTTAATATAATCAATAACTCTCTCCTTCATTTAAAGTAATATTCAGATCATTATTCTTGCCTAATATATAATTTCTAACATTCATATTACTGATCCTGTTATTTGTGATTTAAATTACTATTTGATTTGAAGATATAAAAATTAATCACGCAATGCTCTGGTCATTTGAGAACAATAAATTTGATGTCGGAAAAGGGTAGAGATGTAAAACCAAAAAAAAACAATACATATGAGGTCTCTTTCAATGATTGCCACTTTAAATCATAATTGTCCTCTTTCTGCGTGCTCCTTTTTGTAGAGTTTCAGCTTTTATTCTCTTTTTTTCCTTTAGTGGGAGTTCTCTGTTGATTGCAACCAGTCAACTGAATATTTATACATCTAAAAGCATCTTCACCAAAGTCATATTTAATCCGATTTTCAGAATCGACACAGAAACATCCACTTTCCCAAAAATTTGGAAGTTTGGCATCATGTTTTCCAGCCGTGTTCAAATATTGAAGAAAATTTTTTATCAATGCTACAATTTTGATCAGGACAGATTCAGGAGGCATCCAATTTTCAGGGTTACGATATGTTTTGCCGCTTATCATTGTTGATTCCCGCACAGTTTCAAAGGATGCATCTTGGTGCAGTTTTGCAGGGTGGTATAATGATTTGACCATGTCTACGTACACAGTTTCATTAACTATTGATATTTTGTTGGCATCTGTGGTTACAATATGACTCATAAACCTTGGTGTCTCCATGATTTTTGACAGTATAGTTGTGTGGGTTTTACTGTAAAAGTTTGGTATAAAGTCATTGCCTCCCATACAAAGAAATACTGCAATTTTCGCACATATATTCCTCTCTCTATATAAGTCTCTTCCAACGACTCTATCATATTAGTAACACTGATCACATCCATGGACTTGGTCTTCTGTAAGACCAAATATACAGGGTTTTTGAATTTGCCCTTTTCATCTCGTGGCCATTGATATGTTAAGGTATAGAGGTGGATGATCAGTCCATCAATATCTCCAGAATTGAGGAAGCTGAGCACTGCATGGCCCTCCTTCAATTCAGCATATGAGGATATTACCCAATCCATCTGTGCCATTTCAGCTTCTCCCTTTCTTTGTAATATTGGAAGGGTTTGAACTTTGTCTGATGAAGATCTCTGAATAGGTTGGGTATAAATAGCACATTCACAAGATTCTCCTGTTGAATCATCACAAGTGCATCCCTTTGTGATAAGTTCACTATCAACTGTGACTTTTACACCCCCTTTGATTTTGAGTTTGCTCAGGTTGTCTGCAAGAAAAATGCTTATTAGCCTCTTGCCTTCTGTTGTTGTTTGTATTGCTTGTGGGCTAAACTTATCCATGGAAATTACTTGTGATTCTGTCCTGAGATGGGCAGCAGAGTATGTTGGCATTCCCTTTTTCCGCTGCTGCCTTGTAGAATCTTTCAAAATATCTGGAGTAAATCCATATTTCTCCTCACAAAGAATGAGTGTGTGTGTCTTGGGGCACATTTGAAATAGAATTCTGTTTATGGAACGTTCAGTCATACTTAAATATGAAGATCCAGAGATCGCATTTGAAGTTTTAAATTTTATTCCTGCAAACTCCAGAACAACTATCCGAGTTGCATTTGCAATATTTTCAGGGATTTTTTCCACGTCTTGTTGTATAAGGGATTCTGGAAGAATTTGGCATTTTCTAAGGAGGTTTTTTAAACCCATCATCATCCCCCTGGCTTTGCCAACCACTCTTTTTGTCATGTCAGGCCTGACTATTGCTTGACATTGATTCATTTTAGATGTCAATGCATTATACCTTTTGGATTCTCTGGCAACTTTTTTCTTTCGTTTTTCCTCCTCAAGGTTTTTACTTGCAGCTTTCTGTTTTTGAACTCCAATATGTGATGTTTTAATTGTGATACCACTGCTTTGTTGAGCTTTACGCAAAATATCTTTAGGTCCCTTTAGAGTGCCTGCATCGGGGATGTCATCATTAGTAAAACCAAAGAGGCCCTTTTTAGCTGCATATTTCATCACCATATATTCACCAACATCTTTATTTTGTTCGTGTAGAATGGATATATGTATCATTTTGTCATCCTGTGAATATACATTTAGGGGTAGAACTTGTTCATTTGAAGAAAATCCACCCTGTCTGAAAATAAGTTCAGATGTAGAAGTTATATATTTGAGGTCGATGTTTGATGTTTTCCAGCCTAGATCATCATCTGTACACGTATCTATTTTTTCATAAGGCTTCAATATATCAATTGCTGCCATGCGTCGCGTTACTGATTCCAGCGTTGAACCACTCCTGAACCCTTTCATCACATCGATGTGATCTTGTTCCCTCTTAGTATCCGTTGCAAAATTTACGGCACTTTCTTTGTGGGGAGTAGAGAACAAATGCCTTTTCAGATTCTGATAAAACACCCCGCATGTATAATATGATTCTAATAGCAGAACTAAAAAGGGGGCATAAGAAATTCCCTGATTAATGAAAGCAAATGGAATATACTTTTTGGATGTTCCTGTAAGAAGGTTGTAGCCATCTGGTCCTCCTAGGCGTTCTGCTAATTTGATGGCACTGATGTCATCAAGTCTCTCCATCATTTCAAAATGCAAGGAGAATGTGGCACTTTCTCTTTTTCCATGCTCTATGAACTTCTGATATCTTGTGTTCCAAATAGAGGCATTTTAGGGCCTTCATTCTTTGTAAGGTCCTGGAAGAGGTTGTGTGCTTCATCTGGTGGTAAGTACTCCATGAATGAAATCATGGAAGCAATATGAAGAGAATCTGCAATGCGTTTGGTTACCTTGGTCCCCATATCTATTTGTTCTCCCCCAAGAAGTTTTCGCCAGTCACATTTGTCATCTTCCTTCATGTACCTCAATATTTGGATTAGACCCGCATTTTGATATGCATTTAAGGTTGTATTGATCATGGATTTTCTCAAATGCAGGCATGGGACCTCCGGGAGGAATATTTCAAAATCACAATTAACAGGATCATGTATGAGATCTAACATATTTGCATTGACTTTGTTATCAGCTCCAAAGAGAATTTTTGGATGACCATTATGATTTTGACGACCTAGCTTAGTAAGTATGTCATTGCTTATTTGAGCCAGTTTGTTCTTATCATCATCCTTACCTACATATGGTGATGGATGCGTACATATAAGTGTAGGTGGAAAATATTTGTGTAAACCAAATTGACTAGGCACATTTTCTTTACATACACCTACAGGTACATCATTTGGAGTAGTTTCACTTTCAGTAACAATACATGATTTAACCATAGATTGTTCAAGAGAGTCTATGTTACTTTGAGTTGAACTACTTGAAGAGTTCAACAAATTTACACCAAGATCATCATTGTCAATGTCAGTACAGAGTATTCTAGTCGAATTTGTTTCATCTGTAGTATCTGGACTTTTGATTGCTCCATGAGGGAATCCCCTGGTTTCAACCAAAACAATAGAATGTGGGTCTAGCCCCCCAAGTCCAAGCTGAAGAATCTCTAATTCATCACTCTCTTCATAATCTTGGATTTCCTTATTTTGTGCATTCATTGATTTTGGTGACTCATCGGAGTTATGCTTGAGAATTGATGATATACTTTGAAGCTCTGGTATATCTTTTTCAATGTCATAATCTTGTTTAGTAGACTGGCGCTTGGGAGTTGATTGATAAACAGTAGTTGCCTCAATTAAGTTCATCTCTTCATTATCGTAGTTTTCAAGATGGTCATTGCTCATTAACTGTTCCAGGAATCCAACGCTATTGCTTTTTGCTTCATCTTCACCATCTATATAATCCCAGGTATATCGGGTGTCCCAAAAAAAACGTCCCGCTTTTTGAGCTCTTATAACTCTGCAGGATATTAACCAATTCATTTGAAATTTATCAGGGAGTAAGAGAACGATATTATCTATGAGCTATAAAAAATATTAAATTAATCGGATGTACATTATGTGAGTATCGCCAAATACAAGATAGCATAGCAAGAAATGTAATATCAGAGGATAACTCAATTATTTCACCTTATAATGTAGATTGATGAGCATCGCCAAATACAAAAGTTAAACAGCATAAGATAAAAAAGTTGGTACAGCAAAAGATCGACAACCCACTTATCTAATAACTTGTGCTCAATGTGGCCTCCATCTTCCTTCACAACTAAACACTTGTGTGGGAAGGGGCCCCATCTTGAAACACATAGTCATTTCTAGGGTAAATCCTCCTACAATCAGGTAGCAGATTTTCATCTAATAACTTAATATAGCTTTCGCTGTTGACTTTGGCTTTGTCAGTATTAATGAAATAAATGTCCGTCTTCCCCTTCCAGGATACTCCTGCAGAAACCATTATCTTTTTGGATAACGTGAAGTTTCATGGTAAAGACGTGATGGTTGAATTTGACGTTTACGCTTTCCATACACCCGATCATTTTGACGATTTTTGGGCACTTCAAGAGAAAAGTCCTTCTCATCAGTGAAAATGATCTTCTTGACATCTGCGGATGAATAACGATCATATAAATTGCGACATCTTGTTTTTCTTTTTCCTTTAACATATAAGTGAGTTGTCGATCTTTTGCTGTACCAACTTTTTATCTTATGCTGTTAAACTTATGTATTTGGCGATGCTCATCAATCTACATTATAAGGTGAATTAAGTGAGTTGTCCTCCGATATTACATTTCTTGCTATGCTATCTTGTATTTGGTAATACTCACATAATGTACCTCCGATTAATTTAATATTTTGATAACTTATAGATAATATCCTTATCTTACTCCCTGATAAATTTCAAATGAATTGGTTAATATCTTGCAGAGTTATAAGAGCTCAAAAAGCGGGACGTTTTTTGGGACACCCGATATATAGGAAGCAATTCATTTGTAAACAGGTCTGGTTCAGTAAGCGTTTGCTTCTGCTCCTGTGCTGGCGGTAATGATGGCTCATGTTGACAAGCTATAGCTTTCTCAATCACTGCCTGGAGAGACTGGTCTGTAAACAAGGCAAACAAAGAATTATTAACCAAGATTCACTGGTCAGTATCAAGCGAAGGTAATGGTCGAAATCTTTGCATCAAAGATGTCATGAAAGTGTCAACGGCAATACTGGTAACTGATGATATTTGAACAAAATCAGGCAGATGACATGGGGACTGTGAAGAATAATAATGCTCAAGTAAATTACCCAGTATGCCTAAAACCTAATCAAGACTTTTGCACTAGTCTGTTGTCAGATTATGAAAATATAAACTTGCACAAAACAAAAATCTCGGCATCTGTCAAAATGTACAATAAGAATTCATGCTAAAAGTTCGAACTAAATATCAAACTTTACTCATGGCCTTGACTTAGTCTTCATATGCTTATTTATCATTGTTTAAAGGAGCAATTAAGGGACATGTTTGAGACATTCACACTTATTTTCTCTGACTTACCATTTTAATCTGTTGAATTCCGTATATGGTCCCAAAACTGTGTGCTGCCCCAATTACACATTGTTGTGAATTTTTCTCTTGCTTCAACTCCATCTGGGGTTAGTTGTAAGATAGCAGGTTTCAGGTCTTCCTTCTCAGCATGGATAGGTTTCATACAATTACAGATAATGTCATCTTGGTTGCAATCAGCTCCGTGCCAGGTCTTGGTTACTTCATGGTCAATCGGCAAGCCTTGGAGTGTAACAGGTAGGGTATTTATTTGCTTGGTTCTGCACTTGTGCAGTCACCAGGATTTGGATCGTTTATATGCTTTAAACGCACCAAGTTGTCTATTAAGAAGATAACATAGCAGTCCTTCATTCTTACAGCTTCCTTGACAGAACCATCTGTGGTAGTGTACTGAAGAGGATGAGCTTTCTCAAAAGCATTGTAATAACAATTGTCTGGTTTTGCTGTTTCCAACACAAAATCCTCTGCATACTTAATTCCCGCAGATATTCCATCAGAAGATACGTCCATGATCGAACACAGATTTCACACTTTTGCTTCCAAGTATCAATTCATAGGTGTTTGTCTGTTGCTTTATCCCAATGTATTTTCTGTTGTAGAGATTCAGAAGGTTATCATGAATTGAATATAGCCTTGATATTTTTTCTCTTAGATATTCTTGGGCATCATTTGAATAAGCAATACTTCGCGTGTTTACATACGATTCTAGTAATATTTGAACTTCTAAGGGTACACTTGTAAGCCACTCAGACACATATTCGTTTGACTTCACTTCTTAAAAGAGAGCTTCGCCTAGTTTAACTAGACTCTGCACGCAGGGTATGTTGCTTACACCATGGGCATTCAACTAGATGTACACTTAAGCTTAAACACATATTGCATAATTGAGCGGTAGGCTTACGTTCTACTCAGTCAAGGTTTTTCAATACAAATAAATGATTTTTTGCAAAAAACATGTGAGGTATGACAAGTGTAATCTAAAAATACCGTGTGTACTTCCTGGTTTCACTGGTCCGCAATAAATGATGACTGGTGGTGGACCCAGATTTTGGGCCAAAAGGGACACGAGGCCCCATAAAGTGGGCCTTTTTGGTCTTCACTGAGCTTTTTAAGCCTTATTTTTTAATTTCAGGCTAAATTTTGAAGAAAATTGGCCTCAAAATTATCAAATTTGGGCCCACTTTAGGGTTTTAGGGGCCTTTTTCACTTGACCTGAGATTTGGTTCCCAGATCCGCCCCTGCTTATAACCAAACAAAAAGAGCTGAAAACCTTATTTTAATAACAGCGGTTTATAATGGTAGCCAATTGGGATTTTCCAGAATTCAAATGCCAGTATCTTTGGAAATAGGCAAAAGAAAAAAAAAATCTTATTTTGAATATAATCATAAGTGTAAGATACTAGGAATGTGGGCTTTATTACTCTAGAACTGTTTTGCAGGGGGTCTTTTGAAGATTGATAAATTAACATGGAGCCAAATGTTAATGTGCAAAATTTTCGAGGCCTATGGCCACTTTTCACCACCACTTCGTTAGATATAAAAAATATATGTTATAATGATACTTCTCATTCATATGGTGTTTTATATATAGCATGTGCAATGAAACAGCTAACTCACTCCACTAATTTTCATCACCATCATGGGGACATTGCACAAAATTTGTCCAATATTTCACTGCGCAGAACCATTACTTCCGGTTTTCCAAAGCCTATGGGATTTATAATGGAGACATTTTTCGAACGCTTACTGTGCGAATGATATTAATTTGCCACCGTAGTCATCTCAGGTTTCTATAACTAGACATCAACCTTTACTGATTTAACATGTTTTAAGCAATGTACACATGCACACTTTTCGGCCAATTTGTTTTGAAAAAATCATGAGGAATTCATGGATGACTCCATTGAAATCCATTAGAAATGGCGTCAAAATGGTAAAATGAGGAAATTCAACGGTCTGGTAGAGGTACTTAAAATCATATGGTATCTTAGTCATCTCAGGTTTCTGTAACTTTGAAGGTAGATCTCAGGGCTGTCAACTTGGGACCACCTAATATGAGTGACTTACAAATGTTGGACACCGAAGTCCAAATCTGAACACTTTTGTCCAAATTTTGAACACCTTTGGCCAACTTTTAAACACCTTTGGCCAAAGTTTGAGCACCTTTGCTAAACTTTTATCACCTCAAATTTTTCGCGCTCGCTACGCTCGCGTGACAAATCCGAACAAATTGCGTTCGTTTTTTTCCGACGTTCGTATTTTTACCGTATCATAAACATATTTTGAAAAAATTTTTACAGAAACATATTTGCGTGACAATTACCAGGTAAAATGCGTATTTGCGTGACATTTTGTGTCACGCAAAAAAAACTGGCGTGACTTCAAATTCTTCAGCAAATGCGTGACAAATACGCAAATTGCGGGACAGTTGACAGGCCTGAGATCTGTTTGATTCCGTTGAGATTAGAATCCTCATACCTTTAACTTTTCGGCCAATTTCAAACAAAATATGATAACTTTTGGTGATATAACTGGTTCATTACATTGGAATGACGTCAAAATAAAATAAGACAATCTCAGTTTCTATGGCACTGACGTCATGACGTCAGATTTATCTTAAGATCTCAAATATGACGTCATGTTTAATCAATGAATGACATCTATCGGCTATTCGATGAATCACTTGAGAGAAAACATATTGTTTTAATAAAAAAAAACAGTCTATTTATGGCCAGAAAGTACTCATGATGAAAGATATGACCGTCTAAAATCACTTGCCATACGTCACATGGACCCATTTAGTACCATCAAATGCTTCAAACATGTCATTTTCCAACATCTTGATTTACAAAGTTTCAGTTGCTCCAACTATGTTATAACCAACTTGGAAGATCTTCCGAGTCCACCCCTATTTCCTTAAAAGCATTTCCCGAAGTGCCCCGTGGCGATAATCACACCCTCTTTATCTTGATCTTTCCTAAGTGCTCTATCGCAAGTGACAGGTAGCATTTTGATATATTATTTTTACATAAAAACATTATATAATATTTTTTAACATTACATAATATTACACAAATTAACAATAGTATAAATTCGTTTACATTGTCTTACATAATTGTATAAAGTATTACATAACCTTACATAATGTTTGAAATGGACTCTAAAATTTAAAGGAGGGGTTGGTAAACTGAAAGTGCCAAATTCTGATACAACCCTAAATCTTGCCACGTTGAAATATTGAGCTGTTTTTATCGCTTGCTTTCTTTCGTGCTTTTTACATTTGATTGAGAATAAGACTGGTCTATTCATAAAGTCCTGATGTTTTTGTTGGCTCAAGAATGTTTATATAAATGTCTTCCAGATGTGCATGAAATAATAAGCGATTTTTCGTTGTTTGACCCAAACCATCAATACATTTATCTAGTGTTTCAAACAGAAGGATCCTCGATATTTTTTGCAGATTGTGATGTTTCTATAGCTTCAAGGATAACTCGAGTCTTATCCGGGTATTCAATAACTTGAAATATGCAAACATATGTTTTTGTTTTGTTAATATCATCTTGTTATTATTACATTTGAGGGACCATGAGATAAATCGTAAAACATTATTTTAATTAATAAGCCTATCTGTTAAGAAAACTGGAATCGGATTTTGTTGCTTTTGACATTACCTTTGAAAATTAGAAATATCATTTATTTAATTCAAACAAATCTTCAATAAACGTTAAACATCTGGAGATGATGGAATCAACACATTCGAAGAGGTAAGATTTTGAAAATATTCCATTGCGTTTTGATTTTTTGATTCAATATAAATGGTACAAGATCCAAGGACAAAATTTGACAGCAGTTTGGTCAGTACTAGTATCTTATTTTAATTTCGAAATAATCAACCTTCCATGTCAAGTTATAATTGCGAGCTAACAGATATAAGCTGATATCGTAATTGTCAGCAATTTGTAAGTTTTCCTGAGGTAAGCTTATATTTTGATTGTTGATTGCAAAGAAATCAGTAGACTCAAGGGTAAAGTATGTACGGAGGAAGAGTGTTCGCTAGAGAGAGGTGTTCATTAGAGAGAGGTGTTCAGTTAGACAGGTCCTACTGTATATTCGAATTAATTCGAGTTGGATCAGTTGAATTGGCACAATCTGATTAAATCATTGATGGATGATGTAATAGGTACGAGCTGATATACCATATATCTGATTTAAAATTGCTATTCATAGAATTGAATTTGTGTTATGAGCTATATCAGAATGTTATTCACTTATGTGTTATTATAAAAGTGTTGCTTCTCCAGATTGATGATGAGGACAATTGTAGCACTCTGTATGCTGGCAGTAGTACTGGTGCAGGCACAAGACTCTGGGACAAGTAAGTCAGAAAGATACAAATACTTGCACTACATATGGCAGAATAACAATTGGCTTTATAAAAAATTCTCAAATATTATTAATAATTTTGGTAGCCTATCCAACCGATTATGCCCGAAAGGAGAAAAATTTGGCGAGGCAAATGTAAATTGTTGAGGCAAATAGAGGCTAAATGAGAACTTCATTTGTACTTCATTTCTACAGTTTTAACTGAAAAGTCGTCTTTTTATTAAATAATTACATTCCATCCATTACTCAAGCGAACATTTTAGAACGACCCTTTCTGCATACTTCTTAATAATTGTGATTGGATAGTTTTGGAAATATACGTAATGATTCTGACGTGATAGTCCTGCATATATTAGTAATAGCGGGGTATCAGAATACGGGGGCGTAGTTACGATCTAGAATTAGGCGAGGGAAAATAAAAAAGGCGAAACAAATGTGGACTACGGTAGGTATACCTATATATAATATACTAAAGATACATCATGACTAACCATGAAATCTCACTTTTTGGCCATGGGATGTGATGAGTATCACATCGGTAAAATAAGCTAAAATTGCATCGCCTGCCCCATGCCTAGCTGCGTCCATGAACGGTGTTATGGAATTCCACGACTCTACTTAAAGAACGTGGACAATGACGATGATCCTTGTCGAGATCCATGGAATAACACACGCACATTTCAAACTTGCTTTTAAGTTATTATGCACTTTCAATACTTTGATATTTTCAGCTACATCTGTTTCACAACACGTTGTACGTGTAACCAAGTTAATACTAACGTTCTTTTCATTCATTTTTATGTACAGTCGCATACAAGTACACAATCCCAGGAATGAGAATAAATCGGGGGAAGACCGAAGAAGATGCATTGAATGAGGTTAGTATGACAAACCCGTTCTAAAGGTTGTTTAGGTCTACAAGGTATACAAAGCCTTACAAATCTCTATAGTCCCACACTTGCATCATTCTAAATCAATGAAAAAGAATCACAAAAGCAACATTTCAAAGATAACATTGCATTGTTTTAAAGGTAAAGGCTTTTCTTGACTGGATGGTTGAAAGGAACCCTGGCATTCTTTCCGGTTATCAAGACGCAACGTTGATACCAAAGAGGTAATTGATCATGATGTATGTTAAGCTAAAAGTTTCTTACAAAAATGTGAACGTGAATAAGGTGTACAATTATGGGCCTCTGTGGATTAGTTCTCCCCTTCTTTAAGCTTAATATTTACTTGTCCGATTGAATATAAGGCGATTGAATATAAAGGTGTAAGGAAAATACTTGTAATTAGGTCCTTGGAAAAACCAAGTGAGAAAAGTGGTGACATGTTGCTTTGGTTATTTTTGTGACGGTGGTTGGCAATCAGTGGTTGGCAAATTGTTAACAAATTGTTACAACTGCCAAATTGCCAATAACTTAACAAATACTGTTTAGACTGGCTTCAATTTATTTCAAAATCATCTACAAGTTTTCAGAAGCTCAAATCTGACTTAAGATTTGACCTTCAATGACCTTCTCAAGGTCAAAAAACTTTTTTTTAACTTTTTTTCAAAATCATCTACAAGTTCTCAGAAGTTCAAAGCTGACTTCAGATTTGAGATTTCACCTTCAATGACCTTCTCAAGGTCAAAAAAGTTATTTTTCAACTTGCTTATATTTTCTTTCAAAACCATCTATTAATTCACAGAAGTTAAAATCTGACTTTAGATTTGAGATCTCACCTTTAATGACCGTCTCAGGGTCAAAAAGGTATATTTCAACTTGCTTCTCGTTGACCTGTTTTTCAAAATCATCTACAAGTTCTCGGAAATTCAATCTGATTTAAGATTGAACTCATAATATTGTGAGCAACTTGGTGGTGACATTTTGTCATGTTAATGCCTCGTTTGTATTAGACTGCACGTACACAGCCTAACCATCGTCAACGTACATTGTCAAAATATATCGTTCTCGCCATAGTAAACGTTTTCTTATCATTGAATAACTTAACCTTACTTGTTGTATTCCCCCTCCAATCATATTTGCCCTATTTATTTTAGGAATGCCCGTGTGCAGCTTTCATATTGGGGGGGGGGGATTCTTACATCATTTATCGTCTCAATCTCCTTCTCTAACAAGATGCATGACTACAAAATTGTTTCGTTTTGATGTGTTTTTTTTAAATATATTCATTTTACTGCAATTTTTATGCGTTCTCTTGAAAATCGTGCATGATGGTCGATTTATAATGTTAATAACGTATTATATGTCTTGTTTTAGGAGAGTTTTTGATGCGACATTCGTTTTGATGTCATACCTTGATATCAGTGGTGAATTGTTGAGACAAGAGCTCGAAGAATACAAAGCCTTAGTACCGAATAAATTCGTTGCAATCGATGGCAGAACCGTGAGGACCCCCAAAAAAGGTATTACAACAACATCACAGATATACAGGGTGTCTATAAAATCCCTTTACAATTCCAATACAAAGTCTGTGTAAAGTGTTTGAGACTAGGACACTCTGTATCATTCGGAAAAGTTACATTATCATTGAATGATTTATTTTCCCCAATCTCTCCTCTATATCTTCTATATATTTAGAGTTAAGATATATCATTGGCCTTTATGAAGTTTTAAAGTTTATATTTTCATTTTAGTTTTACCTTTTTGAAATTCAGAAAAGTTGATTTATGTCGTTTCTGACAGATTCTTATCAGTATTATTGTACAACTGAAAATTTGTACAACCGTAGCTCTTCGATCTCAAGGCGTAGCCTGAATCTAAAATTTGCCGAGGCCAAAATGTATCTAGGTGGTGCAAATTGAGGCTAAAAGAGATTTATATGAATTTTTGATAGGCCTACAATATAAAGATTTTGGCTCATGGCTGAGTTTGCTTTTGTGGAATAATTTGGAGGAAGAGTGGGGCACCTGGCCCCAGAATTTATAGATTATATGTTCATAGATTAATCTATATACATTCTGGGGCCATTTCCTAATTTCTTCCTCTTTTGGAGGGTATACGCATGCTCGGCATTGGTATTTTCAATATTCACTAGTCAGCGGTGAGTCTCCCTTTAAGGAGGATACATAACGGTTGTAGTGGACTTAAAGTCGCCGATGAGATGAGAATCAACGATTCATATTAATAATTTTTCGTTTACATTAAGTTAATCAGTCTCTTAAATAGTATTTTGTTTTTGATATAAAATAGAATGATTTAAATCTGTCACTTCTCTTTCACCATTGTAAAATATTCGACTTCAGCTGTACATACCTCGATAACTACCCGTGATTTTACCTAACATGTATTTTTAAGGGGAAGAAGTAAATGTATATGGAGATCCACACGTGACATTTGAATTTCGAAACAGAACATTTTGTTTTGAAACAGAAGAGCCCCTGAATGAAACACTTGAATTGTACACTGCAACGGAATTAGGCAAGTACCGGTTTTCTCCTCAGTACCTTGGCACCCGATTCTCTATAATTTGGTTTTGATATGTTTGTTGTCTCTCGTCACACCACCATACTATTGTTTGATTTGTAGAATGATGATAATGATATCATGAAATGAAATGTGTGTTGTCAGACGATATATCTGTATATGTCGAGCTCGATATTATATACTTGTATATGAAAGTTATTTGATTGTGTATTGTATTCAATTGTAAAAATTAATGGGGTCCGTGCATTATACCGAAACCCATTATACCGACGCGCATTATACCGAAACCCATTATACCGACGCGCATTGTACCGAAAGGCGTTATACCGAATGCCATAATCACTGTTCCACAACTAGTTACTTTGACGGAACGTCAATGTAACAAAATGGATGAACTTCCTGGTTACAAATATTTGGCTTTCCCGATTTAAACCTACTAACAGGTCAAGTTACAGATTATAATTTGGTCCAAAGCTAGAAAATATAGCCTAGTTTTAATCAGTTTCTTCGATTTGGAATTTGTTTTGTAAATGAAGCTGTAATTCATAAGCCCTTCGCTTTTGTTACATTGACGAAAGCCTTTTATATTACCAATGTATGTTACTTTGTCAATGGGGATTTAACCCGACCATTTTTAGAAAACTTGAAAATCTCTAGAATTTGAATAAAGGTAAATAACAGTGGAAAAACTAAGTTGTTTTGATAAAAAAAATACACACAGAATTCAAATAGAAGAAAATGTTAGTCTTTAGTGGTTAAAAATGCAGATCTCCTAAAATCTCATTAAAACGAGACCTTAACGAGATTTCAAAGCTATATGGAAAAGCCACTATTAGATAGATGCCTTCACTAGCCCAGCTAACAATTTTACGTTGTGATAACGTCGTCAGAATATATGTCTCAAGTTGTAGCAACGTTAAATATGGAACGTTGTAGGTACAGGAAGGTGTGGACTCGCACAGATGTTTAAAGAACGTTACATTTGACTTAAATATCACGCGTCAGGAACGTAGTAGCGACCTTAACAATTACGTCGCCAAAATAACGAAACTGTAACGTACTTACATTACGTCATATATACGTGGCCAATCTAAATTTCTGGTAACGTTGATATGGAACGTTGTAGGTACAGGAAGGTGTGGACTCGCATAGATGTTTAAAGAACGTTACATTTGACTTAAATATCACGTGTCAGGAACGTAGTAGCGACCTTAACAATTACGTCACCAAAATAACGAAAATGTAACGTACTTACATTACGTCATAAATACGTGGCCAATCTAAATTTCTGGTAACGTTGATATGGAACGTTGTAGGTACAGGAAGGTGTGGACTCGCACAGATGTTTAAAGAACGTTACATTTGACTTAAATATCACGTGTCAGGAACGTAGTAGCGACCTTAACAGTAACGTTGCCAAAATAACGAAACTGTAACGTACTTACATTACGTCATATATACGTGGCCAATCTAAATTTCTGGTAACGTTGATATGGAACGTTGTAGGTACAGGAAGGTGTGGACTCGCACAGATGTTTAAAGAACGTTACATTTGACTTAAATATCACGTGTCAGGAACGTAGTAGCGACCTTAACAATAACGTTGCCAAAATAACGAAACTGTAACGTACTTACATTACGTCATATATACGTGGCCAATCTAAATTTCTGGTAACGTTGATATGGAACGTTGTAGGTACAGGAAGGTGTGGACTCGCATAGATGTTTAAAGAACGTTACATTTGACTTAAATATCACGTGTCAGGAACGTAGTAGCGACCTTAACAATTACGTCACCAAAATAACGAAAATGTAACGTACTTACATTACGTCATCAATACGTGGCCAATCTAAATTTCTGGTAACGTTGATATGGAACGTTGTAGGTACAGGAAGGTGTGGACTCGCACAGATGTTTAAAGAACGTTACATTTGACTTAAATATCACGTGCCAGGAACGTAGAACCAACCTAAACGATGACTTCGCCAAAATAACGAAAATGTAACGTACTTACATTACGTCATAAATACGTGGCCAATCTAAATTTCTGGTAACGTTGATATGGAACGTTGTAGGTACAGGAAGGTGTGGACTCGCACAGATGTTTAAAGAACGTTACATTTGACTTAAATATCACGTGTCAGGAACGTAGTAGCGACCTTAACAATTACGTCGCCAAAATAACGAAACTGTAACGTACTTACATTACGTCATATATACGTGGCCAATCTAAATTTCTGGTAACGTTGATATGGAACGTTGTAGGTACAGGAAGGTGTGGACTCGCATAGATGTTTAAAGAACGTTACATTTGACTTAAATATCACGTGTCAGGAACGTAGTAGCGACCTTAACAATTACGTCACCAAAATAACGAAAATGTAACGTACTTACATTACGACATCAATACGTGGCCAATCTAAATTTCTGGTAACGTTGATATGGAACGTTGTAGGTACAGGAAGGTGTGGACTCGCACAGATGTTTAAAGAACGTTACATTTGACTTAAATATCACGTGCCAGGAACGTGGAACCAACCTAAACGATGACTTCGCCAAAATAACGAAAATGTAACGTACTTACATTACGTCATAAATACGTGGCCAATCTAAATTTCTGATACGTTAATTATGGAACGTTGTAGGTACAGGAAGTTGTGGACTCGCACAGATGTTCAAAGAACGTTACATTTGACTTAAATATCACGTGCCAGGAACGTAGAACCAACCTAAACGATAACTTCGCAAAAATAACGAGACTGTAATGTGCTTATGCAACGTTACATATACGTGGCCAGTTTTAAGTTCTGGTACGTTAATTATGGAACGTTGTAGGTACAGGAAGGTGTGGACTCGCACAGATGTTTAAAGAACGTTACATTTGACTTAAATGTTACGTGCCAGGAATGTAGAACCAACCTTAACAATGACTTCGCAAAAATAGTGAAACTGTAATGTGCTTATGCAACGTAACATATACCTGGCCAGTTTAAAGTTCTGGTAACATTTGTCTTGGACCGATGTAGGCACAGGAAGGTCTGGACTCGCACAGATGTTTATACAACGTTACATTTTACTTAAATATCATGTGCTAGTAATGTAGTAGCAACCTTAACAATGACTGCAAAAATAAAATAACAGACTGTAACGTGCTAATGCAACGTCACATATACGTGGCCAAGTTAAAGTTCTGGTAACATTAACTATAGAACGTTGTAGGCAAAGGAAAGTGTGGACACGCATAAATGAGTATACAAGTTACGTTCGACTTAGATATCACGAGCCAGGAATGTAGTACCAACCTTAACAACGACTTTGCCAAAATAAAGAGACTGTAACGTGCTTGTCACATACATGGCAAATTCATAACTTCTGGTTACATCAAGTTAGGACAACACATGCAAGGAATGTTCTAGTAACCTTAATTATGCCATCAACAAGATATAGTGATAGTAATGACTAACGTCCAGTTAAATGAATCATTACATGAACATAATTTAAAGTTCCTGTACAGGAAGATGTAGACACCGATGTTCAGTAAAATTATATATAACACACTAAGCCTAACATTTTCACATGTGAAGGTAAAACACAACTAACTTATGCTTTGACTTATTAACAAATGTATATTGTTTTTCCAATAATCAATGAGTTAATACACAAGAACTTTTTTGAGCATCCAAATAGAGAATATTGACACACAGAATTGAACTTAAATATAATTACAGTCTCGTATGTCATCTATCAAAAATCTATCCTATCGTTAATAAGTTTTATTAAGTATTTTATTAACCCCTAAACGCTTAAGGGCCAGGGGAGATTTGCCGTTCTGGCTTGTCTTAAAATTGAATTAGGCATATTTTAACTAATAAATCGTGACTATATTGTATTTACTGAGGGATATACACTGTATCAAAAATCGAGCATTTAATAACTGATTTATCCTATACTTAGTAGATTATGAGAATTAAATATGCATTGAAATTTCCCATTTTTCCCCAAATTTTTATGTCAACGCGGTAGCCTGACAGTCTCCCCAGGTAAAATGAGTTTTAAACCATAGATCTATTTTTAAATGTTAAGGTTTTAATTATATTCTATTCAAATTCTATCACTGTTAAATTATATATCTGCTTTATATGGGCTTATTAGCCTTTTGCAGATTATTGACATAGACATAGACACATTTTTAAAAAAAAGATTTTCACATTTTTTTCAAATTTTTTTTTCAAATTTTATTTTTCAAAATATGAGTTAGGCTATATGAGTTAGATAATCTCAGAAACTTAAAAACCACTTTAAAACACCAAGAAAATGTGTATCTTAAGTATATTTTTGAATTTTGGAACGTATATGACGTACCAAGAACATTAGTAGGTATGAAATACATCTGTTATGTACGGTCGGTTTTGGATACAGGGTTTATCCCTCGGGAAATATGTGTATATCCCTTGGTCCCTGCGGTCCCTCGGGATATACACATATTTCCCTTGGGATAAAACCTGTATCCAAAACCTCCCAGTACATAACCCTTATATATCTCCCGCTCAACTCAAATATCAATTATATTCCCGCATGTTATTTACCTATAACACTACTAAGTATGGGATTAACCTTTGATGATATTTCGATATTTCATTTCCGAGATTGTGCCCAGATCTCGGCAGATCTATTCACCCCCTTTACTATGAATGTAATTATCTATAGCCTAACTGTTTAGGGGTTATATTGTTATTTTTCTGAACGGGAATGAATAAATATTCTAATTTGAGCTTGAACAAATGCTCTATTAGTTAACATGGTATTGATTTTCAAAAAGCAATAATGACCATTTTAAGTTGGGAATAAATCTAGAAAAATTGCATGTTTCAGATATGAAGCCATTATATCTATGCAATCTTAAAAGTACTGTCCCGTTACTTGTCATAGAGATAAAAATTTAATTCAAACTGGCTTGCTTCTCGGAACAGATATTGTTTATGCTAAGTGTTCA